AAAATTATTTTGGGGCGTTACATTTATCTTGTCATTGCGTGTTTGTTCAAAAAAAAGGTGTCTCTATATCTTTTAGGATATCTGTGATCTGAATATCATAATTTCTATTAATTAATTACTTAATGAATGTCAAACTTTATCATATCAAAACACTTGATCTAACATGAAGGTGAATTTTCAAAATCATCTCCATTTTCATAATAAAATTTCTTCACTTCATTCAAACCATTTTACAATAAATCTCGATCCAACGTCGAGTTTCTTTTTAAAATATTTTCTTAAAAAATCATAGGATTGAATGGATAAGATAGGTACCTACCTTACCTTTTTCTAAACTAATTTATTGCAAGTTTCCTAACTTGGCCATTCGATTAGTTACAATCTGAACAAAATACTTTAAATAAAATAAGTTCGAATAACTTGTCTCACTCTTTCGTAAAGAGGACTAGATGGATTAGTTAGGTACCTACCCAATCTTTTCCTAAGTGTTGGAGTACGAGAGACCTCTCTCGGTATTTTAAAACTATTATTCTATAAAATCAATCTCAAACTCATTCAAACCTTTTGCCACTTGTCTTTTCAAAATGAGTGATTTTATGTTCGTTTATGTGACGATGAAACAACGTTCCTTACACATGTGAATGTTGAGCCTTTTCCACTCGAATGCAATAACGACCATAATCTGTGCATATCCAGATTCATTTATCCTTTCTTGAAGTGATTCAATCGTTCCTTTATCCATTTTCCGGGTAGCAATGTTTTTGTTTGAATGTGATCGAGTATCTCTCACTAAAAAGAAACAACAAACAAACATTTCTACCCGAACTATGACGCTCTGCATTCCTATTGCACGAGGGAATATGTGGGCACAAGATGCGATGTCTTGGCGAGCACAATAATAAAAAATACAAAATAATTTCTCCTTTCTTTCTTTCTCCTTTAATAGTTAGAAGATTGTAAACTTTCACACTAACACTCAAACACATGACTAACTAAATGGGTACCATCGAGTACAATAGATGTGAGGGGTACTAATATCTTTCCCTTGCATAATCGACTCCTGAATACTCTCTTTGGTCTCGTAGACCATTTCTTTTCTTTCATGGATTTTATTCGATATTTTCCCTTTCCTTTTTGAAATAAATAAATCTCGGTGGCTACTACATTGTTTATGAATTTTCGAGGCGCTAGAGTACACATTGATAACTTAGGATTCACATGGGTTGACCTTGACAAGGCATCTTTTATGGCTGAACCGTTTATCATGGCTTCTCAAGCAAAACAAGTTTTCTATGTGACCGACTCTTCAGACATATTAGGGAAATGGTCAATTGTTCTCCAAGGAAAACACGTTCCTCTTTGTGAAGAAAGTCTTGATATTTCATCCACTCCTTCTTACACAATACAAGTTTCTACCTCATATGATGAAGTTGATGGAGATGTTGTGCATGCTATTCGAATCAATCATGAAGAAGACATATGGGAAAATTAAAAAGTATTTTATTCTTTATTCCTAATATATTAATTGTATGTTATAATTTCTACGTATTTTTACTAATGTAAGTATGATTATATGAAATCATAGGTCTTTATATGTCAAGACACCAACTGACAAGATACCAAGAGACAAGACACCTAGAGACAAGAAACCAAAACACCAAGATACAATTATGTGATGTTATGTAATGTGTAAACTGTAGGTTGTTTTGTGACATTTTAGTTTTGAAGTAATATACAATTTTTTGTTCTTAATCCAATTTTTATTGTTATTATGATACAATTATTATTATTATTATTATTATTATTATTATTATTATTATTATTATTATTATTATTATTATTATTATTATTATTATTACTATTATTATAATAACTATATCACAAATACAAATGGTCTATTCCGCTGTGATTATTTGTTCTGCTGTGATATGATCCATAAAAATACATATTAAAAAATGGGCAAAATTATAAAAGCAGGATTAAATTTATTACTTCAGCATAAAGTTTCACAATGATTAAACAACACAACCATTATAATATTTTGTGCGCTGTCCAGAAAAATATAAATACCAAAACGACACTACTGAAAATCGAACCTAGGATCTTTATGTATATCATAATGGTTATTTGGCTCAACTGTTGTGATAGGACGCACGCTTTTCAGTTTTCTACAACGGTCACTGAACAATAATTATAAGTAACAAATATACAACCACATACTACAAAATAATGTTTGGTCCAACCGTTGCTAAATACCTTTTCCGTAATAGTGGAATCTCCCTCAAAAACAAATCTCCTTCATCCAAGATTCTATGCGGCAATTCAACAAACACCTTGAGCACAAACTTACATAAACCTAATACTAAGAACAAACCACAACAAAACAAACAAGACACAACAACAACCACAACAACACAAACATAACAATAGTACCCAATAATACACACACATAAACTCAGGAATTCCAAATTTTCTGATGGTGGAGGCTCTAGTGGAGGCCGCTTTCTATGACCGAACCACCTTAGCCCATCGGTTTGTGGAGTTGATTATGAAGCTACAAACGTTTGGTGGTTGATGGCAGAAAAGAGGAAAAACTTGATGGAGGTTGGAGGAAGAAAACTGTGTGGTTCTAACATAGATGAGTGTTTCGAAAGAATGAGAACGGATGGAGGAAAACTTACAGTGGAAGGGGAACCATCAATCACTACAAAAAAAAGCTCATTTGCGACGTGATTTTCACGTCACAATGTGAAAAATCACGTCACAACGTGTTATTAGCGACGTAAATGAATACGTCGCAGGAGAGCGTGTGACAACTAATTAGTGACGTGATTTTCACTTCACAATTTAGTGACGTGAAATTCACGTCGCAAAATTTTGCACAAATATATTGTCAGTGTGTTGCGACGTGATTTTCATGTCACTAAATTGTGACATGAAAATCACGTCACCAAATATTTTTTTTATAAAAAAATATTTTTAATTAAAATATTATATATTCATTTTATACTAAAATATAACAATATGAAACCTTATAATCCAACAAATATATATATAAAACCTGAAAATAAAAATAAATTAAATTAGCTTGGAACAAAATTTGCCATCAAACTTAAAATTAAAAATCAGAAAATAAAAAATTAGAATTAAATTAAAAATTAAAAAAAAAATTAACAACTAGAAATGAGATGAAAGGAGTATTATACCTTTGAGTTAAATGAGTGGATGAAATAAATAAATTAGGATAGTAGAAGAGATGAAAATGAGATTTCTAGTGGTGGAGTGAAGAAGAAGAGAAGAAATTGATTAAAGAGATGAGGAAGAAGAAAGGGTTATGTAACTGAATGATTTTTTTTTTGGATTTATACACACTTTAGTGACGTAATTTTCACGTCACAAATTAGTGACATTAAAATCACATCGCAACTTAACAATGGTCATAAAATTGTGAAGCGATTTTCACGTCACAAATTAGTGACTTGAAAATCACGTCACAACTCAAATTTTGAAAAATTCAAAATTTCCTCCTTGTACAACTCTGACTCTTTTATTTTTTATTTTTAATTTTTATGTTGCGACGTGATTTTCACGTCACAACTTTTTTTTAAAAAAAATCTCTGACTTTCCATGTGCTAACGTGAATGTTTATACCTTCTTTTTTTTGCCACGTGATAATCACGTCACAACATCACGTCGCTTGACACAGTTTTTCTTATAGTAAATGAAGAGGGGATAGTCACTATACTAACGGTGAACAGAAAAGTCCCTACAAAAGGGGAGGCGACATCTAAAAAAAAAACAACCCTAATTAGAGATCTCTAAAACGGCATATTTTCTCATTATCATCAACTCTATGCTTGAAAGAACAACCATTTGATAAATCATTGAGTGAATCATATTCCAACCATTTTGTCAAATCTAAATCTTAATTAATTTTATTGTTAAACAAATTTTGATCAATAATATTATTTGATTACCTTTTTGCTCATGACTTAATTCATAATTTTATTTGTTTAATTAAATTTATCTAAAACAATTCTTTGGATCAATATCTTTATTATGATTTCTACTTATATTATGTATACTTGCACCACTTTTAAAAGCAACAAATTTTTTATCTTTTTTACAGAAGATTTGATAACTCTATGTTAATTATCTACTAACATAAATTAACCAATTAAAAAATATCACAAAGCTTAAGAAATTATGCTGTGCAATATTATGCAAGCGAATGTTTGTTCCAGAATCGTTTTCATATCCTATAAGCAATATAAATGTCAACTCATATCCCAAAAAAATATTGTTAACTTAATACGTATTCAACTCTTTTAATTGTGATGTCCGCATTAATAAATAAGTTTGAGTTAAAAGATTGTACACTGATGTAGAATAGTTTTATAATCTTATTTAATAAAAATTTATTATTTATTCGTATTATATAATTTAGCTAAAATACTTAATTTTGTCCATTAATTATATTCTTAGTTTAGATTGGTTTATTAATTTTTTTCATATCTTGATCTCTTAACTTTTAAAAAAAATTCATTTTAATCATTTTTATCTAATTAACGGCGAAATTTTTTTGAAATCGATCGCTAAATTCGTTGCTAATTGAACAAAAAAAATTAAAATAAAATATTTTACAAGTTAAAAAATTAAAGTAACACGAAAAAAAATTAAAAGACTAATCTAAATTTAGAGATATAATTAAGAAACCAAAATAAATATTTTACCTATAATTTATTTAAAAATAACAATATAACTTAATACTTAAAATGGTTTAAAATGGTTATGATTGGTTAACCGACTAAATTATATTTTTTCTCAATAAGTTTTATAAATTTCAATCAATAACTATATGTTTAGTTTCGTCAAACAGCACTATAATACGAAACGTTCTTGTGAGTGGAGTAACACTTGAACTATTAATTTTAGTCAAATAATCACAATTCATCTTTATTTATTGACAAAAAATCACAATCAATCTTCTATATAAAGGAATGTATTTTCACCTTTTAAGTAATCAATAATCATCCACATAAATCTCTACAATACTAGAAACATATAGACATGGCTCTAGTCTTTTATTTTATAAATATTGCATTGAAAATTTAACATGTGTTTGTTTGTGACTAATTTATATTTATCTATTTATATTAATCAATCAACTCTGATAATTTTAAATACTTGTGGATCCCTGCAGAAGGAAAAAAAGTAAGTGCTAAAGCAAAAATTGAGGCTATAGATGATGACAATAAGGTAATCATATATAGCTTATTTGAAGGGGAAGTGAGTGAGAATTACAAGAGTTTTAAGTCAACATTTCAAGTGATTGATAAAGAACATGGTGGTGGGATTGTGAAATGGACCTTTGAATATGAGAAGCTAAAGGAGGATATTGCATTTGGATCTCCAGAATCATACTTGGTCTTTGCTGAAAAGGTCTCAAAAGATATTGATGCTCATCTTGTCAAAGAATAGCAACAAAGATGAGGATGAAGTGTGTTTGGTTTGAGTGTGTTTGCTTATCGAATAAACTTTATTGTAATGGATGAATGTCAGCTTAATGCTTGTTAATGTTTGATGTGTTTAAATATGGATACTAAATGTTTGTAAAAATTTTAATGCACGTGTTGTTTTATTGATCAAGATTTAGAGAACCTTGTTAAATTATATATTGGAAAATGTGTGATAAATTATATGTTATCATCGAACTTTATGTATTTATATAAAATGTTCTTTTGAATGAGGTTGATCACATCAAATAATAAACTTTATGTATTATAATATGTATTTATATAATATTTGTTAGAAGTTAGTTATACGTGGTTAGGTAGTTGCAAGTTACAACTAACTATACGTGTAGTTACTATTAATTTTGTATGTGATTACTACTAGTGAGATATGTGACTGGGAATTAAAAGTTAATTAGTTAGTATTGTGATCATATATAAGTGATGTAAGTGATATTTTCATGAAGAATCAATTATAATTGAATACAATACTTATCCTAATCTCTTTCAATTTTCTCTTTTCTCTTTTCCTCGTTTCTTGAAAAGCACGAAATCTGTTGCTATAATATATCTAGTTCAAAGCTCTATTATTGATTGTGTAAAATACATCGTTTCAACAATTTTTTCTACAATTATCAACCAAGTAAAGATGATAGGTGATAATGGCCTCTCAAACTCATTTATGATCTTTGATGGCAATAACTAGGAGAGATGGCACAAACAAATATGGAATTATTCGTCTATAAAGACACACACGAAATAATTGAAATTAGAGGTTAAGAACTCACAACAAATACAAGTGAAGTGTTGCATTCTAAAATTTATTCTCCTCGTGATACTTTTATCTGATTTAGGCTTTACATTCATCTTCATACGTTTCCATTAGGTCATTTGCATAAACAGTCATTTATTCATCGCATTTGCATCATTAGTCGGTCATTCATGCATTTAGATTAAATAAAAGTTAATTTAAATCAATATTTGTATCGTTTTATAGTTGAAAAATAATTGTTATCTCACTTCATACATTTTTATCTCTTTACCTGCATCTTGTATTGCATTAAGTTGTTTATATGTCACTAATATTGATATTTTGATTCTACATACAAACGGTTGAAAGATATCTGACATTATGCGAAAAATTAACGAAAAAATATTTCGAGTTTTCATCTTTTACTAAATGTTTTATGAATATGCGTTTCGCGTAGATCATGTTGGTGCGCTCGTTTTATTTTTCCGATGCAGTTTACAGTTTTTTTTTAATTGTTAGCGTTTGTTCAGAATAATATCTTTATTCTCATTTTTATTTCAATTTTAATCATTTGAAAATTTTTTATGATTTGTAGTTTATTTTAATGTATTCATTTCATTTTTTCGATTAATTAAATATTTATATTTTATCATTTTTGATTATTTTAAATATCTCTTTTTATTTTGAAAAATTAAAACAAAAATATTGTTAGTAGTGTTTATTTTTATTCTATTAGATTTTAAAGCTAATTTTGACAAAAGGGCATTTTTACAATTACAAAACTAAAAAAAACTAATAGTATTGTACTCATAAGAGAAGTAGCCGTTTGTGAGTTTTGGGTGAGGAAATTGAAAAAACCAACGTGATACTTTCTATCTTGTTTACTGTTCATAAAATTTCCTTCACCATTTTTTTGGATCTACCCATGACTCATATCACCACCATCTTCTAATACTCTTGGAACATAAATTCATTCTCCACCGCTAGCTACCACCCTCCATTTCACCTTTTGCTACCGTCCGAACCACAAGACACCTATTGCCCAATTTCTCCTCCATTTTTTGGTAAATCTTATTATTTAATTTTTGGTTTGTTTTAATTGAATGAATGTTGAAGTTTAATTGATCATATTGTTGTTTTTTTTAGTAAATTAGTGTTGCTATTGTGATTGAATTGATGATGAAATTAGTGTTGAAGATGTGAAACTAATGAAATTAATTGTTGAATTTAATTGATAAGTTTGCTGGTTGTTGAAACAATTGAAATGAGCAATTGATAGTGTTGATGTGTTTGTTGTTTGAATTTGTTTGAGAAATTGATATGGTTGAAATTGTGGTGGAATTGAATTTGGTTTTGGTTGGTGTTAAGAGGTTGAAGATGATGAATAGTGGTATTGGTGTGGGGAATTTGTTTGAAAATTGATATTGATTTTGAGAAGTAGTGTTGTTAATTTTGAAACTCAATTGATGACATTGTTATGTGTTTTGATTATTGAAGAAGATGGTCAGCGATTTTGTTAGTTATGAGATAGTGAAAATGGTGGTGTTTGTTTATGTGATGAATTTTTGTAATGAGCATCGAGGGAATTTCATATTATTTGAGTGGTTTCGGGTAATTTTGAAGGTGTTAGCGTCTAACTCTGAGTCATTTTTAATGATATTTTTGAGCTCTTGTGTGACTCGAATTTAGTCTTGATTAAATATCATTTGATGTAGCTTATAAATTCCATTTTCTCTTTTAATTTGAACCTATTTGAGATGAAATTCTTGAGCGTTCTCGCGTAGTGTGTGTTGCTGCCCGAATTTTATAAAAGGACTAAAGACTTTATTTAATTTCTTATTTTGTTCATTCTTGATTCAATTTGAGATACCATGAGATTATTCATAATTGTTGATTGGTTTTGATGAGTAGTGTGATACGGTGGCAGAATCGATTGTTAAATACTGGTTTTTTTGCGTTTTGTGTTCGCACAATTTTGCGGTAAGTAAGAGTCGCCACCGACTTTTCTTTTATCCAAATTAAGGAAATTGTGAAAAGAACAGAAAATATCTTTTCGAGATTATTCTGAGTAAGGGGGGTAGATTATGGAAAGGGAAGGTGTTAGCACCTTTTCCATCCGTAGTTATCTACGGGCTCTTAGAGGTTTGCTCATTTTGAAAGTACTTTGTGTTTTGTGTGTTTGAAAAAATGTTTTGGAAATGCCTTAGTGCGGCGATTTGATTTGTGTTTAACTCTTGTATCAGTCCTCAAGAGTGTTAACAAAGAAAATGTTTTGAAAAGTACTATTTGTGTAAGTGTAAAATATTTTTTGAGCAAACTTCTAACAACTATCTACTTTTATACTCGAAAAGGATAATTCTTTTCCTCATATCCTTTAGATAGTGTTATCCTACTATTAGTGAGTAGGTAGCCCTATCGTTGGATGTAAATTAGTGTTGCTATTGTTATTGAAATAAGAAATTGATGGTGTTGATGTGTTTGTTGTTTGAATTTGTTTGAGAAATTGATATGGTTGAAATTGTGGTGGAATTGAATTTGGTTTTGGTTTGTGTTAAGAGGTTGAAGATGATGAATAGTGATATTAGTGTGTGGAATTTGTTTAAAAATTGATATTGATTTGGAGAAGTATTGTTGTTAATTTTGGAACTCAATTGATGACATTGTTATGTGTTTTGATTATTGAAGAAGATGGCTAGTGATTTTGTTAGTTATGAGATAGTGACAATGGTGGTGTTTGTTTATGTGATGAATTTGTGATGAATTTTTGTAATGATCATTGAGGTGTTGAAGTTGTTGGTTAACAATAGCATGTTTATGATAATTGAATGACAATTTGTGTTGAATTTTAAGTGTCAATTTCATATAATTAGAGTGGTTTCAGGTAATTTCGAAGTTATCAGTGTCTAACTCTGAGTTATTTTAATGGCATTTTTGAGCTCTTGTGTGACTCGAATTTGGTCTTGATTGAATGTCATTTGATGTAGCTTATAGATTTCATCTTCTCTTTTAATTTGAACCTATTTGAGATGAAATTCTTAAGCATTCTCGCGTAGTGTGTGTTGCTGCCCAGATTTTGTAAAAGGACTTAAGCCTTGATTTAATTTCTTGTTTTGCTCATTATTGATTTTTGAAATGTGGGATTAAGAAGAAGTTTGATTGAAATTTTCTGTTTAAAACTTTGTGAGTTGATCACTCTCTTATGTTTAGACAAGTTTTTGTTTCGATTAGCTTTAAGAATTATCGCTTTTTTGTTAACCAAGCCACATTACAACCTTGAAAAGCCCTTATGATTCTTGCCTTTGTATTTGCAATATGAATTTTTAGATGAATGCATAATTTAGTCTTTTGTTTGTAACATTGTTGGATGAGTGCCTATGTCCCCCACTTTTGTGTATTCTTAATCTACCGAAGAATTTTTACTAGGTGCGATTCATGATAAAACTTGTTTTGTTTTAGAATATTTAGTATGATTTTTATACTTAGGATTCCTTTCGATTACATATTGTCGTTGTAGGATTGTGGTAAGTTTTGCCTTGCGTGTGTGTTTTTAGTTGAACCATACATTTGTTTTGTTTTCTCAAACTTGTTGATTCGTGATTCTTTGGTTGATCACTTTTGTTCTTTAAGTTTGTTTACACTAGTTTAAGGACAAACAATGATGTAAGTTATGGAGAGTTTGATAAGTGCAAATTGTAGTTATTTTTGTGTATAAGTTTTGTTGCACTTATTGATACTTTTTGTTAATATCGTTTGAATAAGCTCAACTTTGTTTGTAAAATCGTTTAGTTTGTGTACATAATAGAATAATTGAGTTTTTGTGTAAATATTTTATCATTTGATAGTGTTTCATCCCTTTTGTAGTTATTCATTCATAATTAGAGTATTGTGTATTATAGGCCAAATGTTAAGCTTCAAGAATGCAATTTTTGGCAATTCATTAAAGAATAAAGCTCAAAACAAGGATGAGAAAAATCATCAATTTGGTTGTGTTGTATCCCAAAATTTTCCCTCTCTTTTCTCAAGATATTTCCCACAAAGATCTTCAATGATTCAAGTTTGCACAAGTATTGACTAGGTCAAGCCATCTCCTCAACACTGATGCCTCAAATTAGGGTTTGAGTTTGCACAAGGACAATTGGACTTCTAATATTTCAAATGACTTTCATGGATCATTATAGACCCTCAAGATTGCTCCTGTCAAGTTTCAAGTCTTGGAT